ACTGGATGCAATGTATTTCATCACTGCAGAAAGATGCATTCCATTTTATAGAATGAGAGAACTGTAAAACAGGAGGGCACCCCAAGGGTCATCATGTCTATCTGCCTACCAACACATTATCCTGAAAATTAGATATCTGATGAATAATTGCAAATATTCAAACCCTACATTATACTTGTCATTGTACAGCTGCTGAAAATGAACACTCTCTTAAGTTAGCTACAGAACTGGAAGCCAGGTATTCAATAGCTGTCTGGTTGGCACCATCTTCTGACGTTGCTATATCTAACTTAACAGTTCTATTTTTTCCCCTTCCCACTATATGGAAAAGGCTAGAATCTTCTCTTCTTAAACATGGTGTCTGAATGGCTAGTGAATACTTCTCTGTATCAATAGCAGTTTTGTTGTAAGACTTATTGAGATAATATATCCCAAGTGGTACCAAAAAGATAAGCTGGCCAAATAAGTGTTTTTGACACACAATCATCTGAGTGCAGTTCACTGATGTGGAAATAGAATTCCAAAAAACAATTATGAAGGATAAAACAATCTCATTCTATTTATATCCCTATTCAGGAATCTCAGCTGATATTATGCAGATGAGGGAAGAATGGAGAGGCTGTTTAGCAGGATCTAATCCATCTCAGCTCAGTTCTGTTGCCTTTTAAAAACCCAGCTGACTGACCCAGAAGAAAGCTAAGCCTTCAGGAAATTTTGAAGAAAAAGCAAGCTGTCTCAAAGCATTCTTATGCTTGTTTGAAAAGCTTTTCTCTCTCTCTCTCTCTCTCTCCCTTCTTACATTTATACCCCATCTTTTTAGTTCAAATATTGAACAAACTGGAACATGACAAGAAAAGAAAAAAGAAAAGAAACAGAAGGGTGACAGGCCCAAAAGGAGCAAAAGATAAAAACAGATTATTTAAAAGGGCAGAACCCAACTGAGAAAAAAAATTCTAAACTCAAGACAATTTTGCCTAAACAAGAAACTCCCCAGGTATTGTCATACAGATCTATATTCATCACTTCATCGGCCCTTCATTTCCTTCCCAAAAACTAATTGATCATAATTTGAGACTCAGCTTTGAGGAGAATGAATATTTGTCTTGGAAGTCTGGACAAGTTAAATCTTTGCATTCATGCAATACAGCTAATAACAGCTAAAGAAATTCAATATATGCTTCTTTTTCTAGTAAGGCCCAGTTTTCACTTCCATGGTCAATACAATGATTCAATAGTTTAGTAGAGTGTTGATTTTTCCCCATCAAATTGTCTCTCAAATCAAATCGCCTGGATAGCCTTGATGACAAACCCTTGGGTACAAGGTGCTGTTGCTAAATGCCAGGTCAGGGAAAGGTAAGACAGCTAACATTGAGGATTTGATACTGGATGAGCATGTTGAACTGCTTTGCATTACAGAGACCTGGTTGGATGAAGTCTTTTTCAGCTTTGCCCACCTGAGTTTTCTGTGGAGTAGCAGGCCAGACCTGGTGGGAAGGAGGGGTTGCAATAATCTACTGAAATTAATTCACCTTTACTAGGTGCCCCATCCTACAGACTGCTGGGTTTCAGTGCATGTACCTGAGAATGGTTGTACAGGACAGAATAAGGATTCTGTTGGTGTACTGCTCACTCTGCTGCACGACAGTCTCCCTGCCTGAGCTGGCTGATCTGATTTTGGGTGTGTTGCTGCTGCAGTACAGTACTTCTACATCCATGCAGAGACTAGTTTGTCAGGAGCTGCTCAGGACATCATATCTACCACGATGATCATGGAGTTGTCCCAGGTGGTATCATGCTGCAGGGTACAATCTTAACCTGGATTTCTGTACTGGGCAGGTTGGTGATGATCTGGGTGTGGGGGAACTCTGCAATGGACAGATCGTTACCTGGTAGGGTTTGGGCTTATTGGAACTCTGAGCCTCTGCAGGGATGGAGGCAATTAAAATGGTCTGCCCTAGGAGACTGATGGATCCAAATGGTCTCCTGATGGCTCTTGGGGAGTTTCTGACTGTTTTGGAAGGAGATCCTATTGAGGCCTTCAAGAATCTCTGGAATGCAGAGGAGGCCAGGGTTACTGACACAATCACTCCAAAGTGTCCCCTTTTCCAGTGTGCAGTCAAACCACAAGTTTTTATATATAAAGAGCTGGGGGTGATTTAAAAAATGGGACAAAGATTAGAGAAACAATGGTGGAAAACTCAGTGCAGATCTGATTGGACACAGACTAGAGCTCATTTGAAAGCCTACTCTGTGGCAATCAGCAGGCCAGACCTGGCGGGTGGGAAGGAGGGATTGCAATAATCTACTGAGATTAATTCACCCTTACTAGGTGCCCCATCTTACAGACTGCTGGGTTTCAGTGCATGTACTTGAGAATGGGTGTACAGGACAGAATAAGGATTCTGTTGGTGTACTGCTCACTTTGCTGCACGACAGTCTCCCTGCCTGAACTGGCTGATCTGATTTTGGGTGTGTTGCTGCTGCAATACTTCTACATCCATGCAGAGACCAGTTTGTCAGGAGCTGCTCAGGACATCATGTCTACCATGATGATCATGGAGTTGTCCCAGGTGGTATCATGTTGCTGGGTACAATCTTGACCTGGATTTCTGTACTGGGCAGGTTGGTGATGATCTGGGTGTGGAGGAACTCTGCAATGGACAGATCGTTACCTGGCAGGGTTTGGGCTTATTGGAACTCTGAGCCTCTGCAGGGATGGAGGCAATTAAAATGGTCTGCCCTAGGAGACTGATGGATCCAAATGGTCTCCTGATGGCTCTTGGGGAGTTTCTGATTGTTTTGGAAGGAGATCCTATTGAGGCCTTCAAGAATCTCTGGAATGCAGAGGAGGCCAGGGTTACTGACACAATCACTCCAAAGTGTCCCCTTTACAGTGTGCAGTCAAACTACTGCTTTTGTTTTATAAAGAGCTGGGGGTGATTAAAAAATGGGACAAAGATTAGAGGAACAATGGTGGAAAACTCAGAGCAGATCTGATTGAACACAGACTATAGCTCATTTGAAAGCCTACTCTGTGGCAATGGTGGAAGCGAAGAAGTAATTCTTGCCACCATTGATCTGTATCAAGCTGTCCAGAGGAGCTTTTCAGGTGGTCAAGGACCTGTTGCATAGATGGCTGCAAGAGAAAGATGATGACAATGAATAGTATGCTGTGAAGAGTTTGCATGGCACTTTGCAGCCAAAGTCACTTGGGTGTTCTGACTTAGGTGCTGTAGTAGACACACGTCCTGTTGATGCTTGTCCTGTTATAATGGATGAATTTCAGTTGGTGCAGCCTGAGAATGTATACAAGATATTTGGAGATGTGAAAGCTGCCACATGTGTGCTGGATCCTTGCCCTACCTGGCATATAAAAGCAGCCAGAGAGGGATTGGTTGAGTAGATTAAATGAGTCGTGAATACCTCCTTCCGGCAAGGCAAGGTACCAGCATGCCTAAAAGAGGCAGTAGTAAGATCTAGCAAAACAAAACAAAACAAAACCCTCCTTGAATCCCACAGTATTGGATAATTTTTGGTCAGTCTCCAATGTTCCATTTTTGGGCAAGCTCTTGGAACGTGTGGTGACTATTAATTATTTTTGGATATTGATGTTATTTTAATCTGCTTATTTCGTTTGATGTACGCCGCCAAGAGTGGTCGAATGACTAGATGGGCAGGATATAAATATAATAAATGAATAAATAAATAAATTTTAAAAAACACATTTAAAGCCATACTTGGGATTAAGCCACTGAGGAGCAAATATTTGTGGATGGTGGTTTTGGGAAGGTGAGGTGAGCAGAGGGGCTATGTGACAGTGCAAGGTCCTAGGGAGGAGGGAAATCCCCATCCTGTCCCTTGTAACCTGTCCAGCCATTTTATAAATGGACACAATCTTACAGTGTTTCCTAACACAGGCCAGTCCTACCACAGTGGAGATGAGGCAGACTATCTCAGGCAGCAGGTGTTCGGTGGCTGAAATCCAGTAGTAAACTGTACCTAAATTAAACCCAATCAACCAATGTAAGTTGGTTCACTGGCTACCAGGATAGGCCCATAGAATAAATGGAGGAGTCAGTAATGTTTAATTATTTTTAATATATAGTTAGGCATAGCATTTTACCATGTATTCTCTGGGTCTACTCTAGTTGTGATTTACTACTAGATTTCAGCCAGTATCATGAAAAGGTAGCAGCTTGTTAGATATTCAATTTGTTCCTGCTGTACTTTATAGCTTGAGTCAGGGAGACATGCTTGTGATCCTTTCTGCCCATGTATCAGAATAACTTAGCTGGCTTTCCATACTATGCATCTAGCTTTCTGTGGGTGAATGAGCCATTTGCTGCTTCACCTCAGGCAATAAAATGAGTTGGACTAGCATATGAAATAAGTCCAGACATGAGCCTGTGTATGTTCTCCAAAGGCCATTCTCTGACACACAAATTTTCTAAATGCTACAGCTTTTTAAAAGCTGTACAAATTTGATTACTCCCCAAGTAATCAGACATTAACTATTCTTTGTTACTGTGGGAATGTCACAATATCACATTCCTTGCAAAATATAAACAAACAAACAAATAAATAAAGATTATTCACATTCTTTGGCTAAAATTCTGACTGACAATAAGCTGATTGCCTGAATAATTTATGACACCAACAGGACACATTAAGGGAATGGTCCCCACAGGGAAGTTTAACTTGTAATTCGGATACACTCGTCAGCAGCTCAGAAAAATAGGTATATAAATATTACAACCAAGGATTCCTTCCCACCACACTAAAATAATTAAGGCTTATTTAATTATTGACAGTTGTGAGATATAGCAGAGAATTAAAAGTAAAGAACCATTTATGAAGAATGAGAATGAAGACACAAGTAAAATATAATTATTATACCCATTGTCTTCAAGCAAGAAATTTAATATGTACACAAGACAAATACGCTATTATATAAAGGAAGAAATTGATATTAGTACCTTCCTCTCTCCACAGTATGTTTGCAACTGCAGCATGTAAGAGAGAAAGAAAAGAAGACACAAATGAGTGTGGACTAAATAACATGCAATGACACATCAGTTTCAAAAACAATGAATCTAATATGTTTGATCTGCAAAATAAATTCGAACTCACATCATTTTATCCTCTTCAACTGGTGAGGTTGATTCCTGAAGAGATGCTTACCTCATATTTATTGTTAGCATTAACTCAGTTTTGACGTTTTCCAATGAAATGAACATTAGCTTTTATTTGTAATTTCAGCAGACACATAAACAATAGAAATAACTTTGGTTTTTCTTCTCATAGAGTTATAGTGTTTAAAATGGTTTTGATAAAGGAACATTTTATTGAAGTTAACAGGATTTAAAATATGTATCTATGTGTCATGCATTGAAATGACACTTCAGAACTGTACTACATGTTCATGATTCTTTTGAAGCATCTGCATTTTCTCCTAGTGACTTCAAAAGGCAAATCTGATGAAAATAAGTATTTGAAGTTTTAAAAAGAGACTTTTTCATATATTTACATGAAATTATTATTGAAATTTGAACTTTAGCTCATAGAGTTCAGTTCTGACATTTACTGAAGAAAATAAAAATCTCAAGTGTTATACCACTTCTATGCAAATAACACAGCTAATGGGGGGGTGCATATATAAGTCAAACCATAACATGCATTTTTTTTTAACACAACAGCAAAATATATGTGGCTACTAGGCATACAGAAATGTGGCCAAAATGGTAATTGATCTTAGACAACCATTTTATGTAAGGAAGATCCCCTTTAAATTACTAGGATGTATTTTCAAACACCGACTGAAATCTATGTGTGAACCATGTGAAAACGAACATATAAAGCTTAATTGCATTATTATAAGTGCTGTAAGATTTCAGCATTTAAGAACCTATTAAAACAGATAATGTAACAGATCAAGATCTAAATCCAGCCAGAAATCCTATTAGGATAGTCCCACTGAATCATTTACTGTATATAAATCTACTTTGGTTGGACTAACAGTTTGGTTCAGACCATTATGTGAGTGGTATTCTGTATACACGTATCCGGGAATTAGCTGCATTCATTATTTTTGAAAGAAACTACCGTATTTTTCTGTGTATAAGACTATACTTTTGTCTGAAATCTTTAGACTAAAAATTGTGGGCCGTCTTATACACGGAAGAAAGCTGAGGAAAGAACAAAAATAAGTGGAGGGGAAAGCAGGGATCAAAATGATCCTGCAGGGATTTGATCCCTGCTTTCCCCTCCCCTTGCTAAGCCCCACTTAGATTTCTTAATTTGGGGTTAGAAAAGTGGGGGGCGTCTTATACATGGGGGTGTCTTATACACAGAAAAATACAGTAACTGCATTAATCATTACTTCATGGGAGTCAGGAAGTCATTGCTTTGACTGCATAAGTAATTCATTGCACTACAAATTCATGTACTGTCATTACCAACAGGCCAAAAAACACAGGATAATATTCTTTAGCTCCCTTTTGTAGCAGGGATTGCACACTGCAAAAATTTACAAAAAACACAAAGGGAAAAAAATAAGAAACCTTATCATTTAGGACTGATAAGACAATACTAATAATAAATAATAACGGTGAGCCTTCAAGTCAATTCTGACTTAACGGTTACACTTTCTAAGGATTTCTAGGTTGAGATTATTCCAGAGTAGTTTACCATTCCCTTCTTCTTGGGGCATCCTGGGATTCTGCATCTTACCACATAGGCCACATAGGCTGGCTTTTCTGGGATCCACAGAGTGGAACTGAACTCCCAGCCTCGATATTCTGCACCTTGCCAAGGCCACATAGGCTGGCTTTTCTGGGATGCACAGAGTGGAACTGAACTCCCAGCCTCGAGCTCCACAGCCAGATACTTAACTCACTGAGCTATCCAGCCAGCTAAGACAATGCTACACAGCCTGAAAAAACTCTTGTCACATTGCACTCCAATTTTATTAACTGCTCTTAAAAAGTAATTTTTGAAAATAACTGGAAAATATTACATGTATTAAGGTCCTTAGGAGAGTGTCTTCTCTTAGTCCCATACTCCCACAAGTATATCTAGTGGGGACCAGAGACAGGGTTTTTTTTCCCTATGACTGATCCCAGATTATAGAAATCTATCCCATGGGGGGCTGAGGTTGACCCTTTCCTGCTTTTTCTTCTGCCATCAGCTGAACCTTGGAATCATCATAGGACCTTGGAATTGTCATAGATTACAAGCTGAATATGAGGTGACAGTGTGATTTGGGTACAAAAACGGCAAATGCTGTTTTAGGATGCATTAACAGAAGTATAGTCTCCAAATCCTGCGAAGTACTTGTTCCCCTCTATTCAGCACTGGTTTAGCCTCATTTTGAGTTCTGTGCCCAGTTCTGGACACAACACCTCAAGAAGAATGCTGGTAAATGGGTACATGTTCAGAGGAGGGCAACAAGGATGATCAGGGGGCTGAAAAACAAGCCCTATGAGGAAAGACTGAAAGAACTTAGTATGTTTAGCCTTGAGAAAAGAAGACTGAGGGGAGATATGATGGCACTTTTCAAATACTTGAAAGGCTGTCATACAGAGGAGGGGCAGGATCAGTTCTCGATCATCCCAGAGTGCAGGACATGCAACAATGGGCTCAAGTTATAGGAAGCCAGATTTTAGTTGAATATCAGGAAAAGAATCCTAACTGTAGGAGCAGTACGGAAATGGAATCCATTACATCCAGAGATGGTGAGTGCTCCAACACTGGAGGCACTCAAGAGAAACTTAGACAACCACCTGGCAGATATGCTTTGATTTGTATTCCTGCACTGAGCAGGGGGTTGAACTCAATGGCCTTATAGGCCCCTTCCAACTTTGCTATTCTATGATTCTATGGAAACATACCTAGTTATAGAAGCTTTTGGATAGCCAGGAGGCATTTGAGATGGGAAGGTCTTTCTAAATGTTAAAATTTAGTTTTCAAATAGTGATTTAAATATGTATAGTAACTAGAAAGCATGCAAAATGCAAAAATGTGAGTAGATAAATGGGTACTACCTCGGTGGGAAGGTAAACGGCGTTCTGTGTCTAGTCACACTGTCCACGTGACCACAGAGGATTGTCTGCAGACAAACGCTAGCTCTATGGGTTGGAAACAGAGATGAGCACCGCCCCCTAGAGTCGGACACGACTTGACAAAATTGTCAAGGGGAGCCTTTACCTTTACTATATTATAGTTTAATCAATTTGTTCTACGTAAATATTGATTTTAATTTATTTTTGTATGCCACCCTGGTTCTCCCTGAATTATTATATGCTGTGAATGACAAAGTAGATTACATGAACCTTCAGCTTCTTGTCAGGAACTATTCTGTGCTGCCGACACTCATCAACTAATCCCCATTCACCCCACTACACACTTGATTTTACATAGACCCACATTACAGCTAGTAGTGATATTTTCCTATTTGAATACCCTCCTAAAGGAGACAAAACTTGAGCATTTTCAAAAGGTATCTGATGGGGGCTAGACTGCAATGACAGACCTGTTTATGAAGATGCAGGAGTCGTTATTGCCTCCACATTGTGTGTTCGCTTGTTACAAGGTAGTGTGATCAAAATAGGGTTGAGATGCTCCTGAGGAGAGCCTGTTGTTCCTTTATATAGAAAATGCATCCTATACAGTGGTGTCTCACAAGATGAAAGTAATTCGTTCCGTGAGTAGCGCCATCTTGCAAAATTTTCATCTTGCGAAAAGCGGTTTCCCATAGGAATTCATTGCAGTACATTCCTACGGGAAACCTCATAAGACGAATGAATTATTTTTGTCTTGCAAGGCATCAGTCTTGTGAAAAAAAATTGTCTTACGAAGCACAGCCATAGAAGAAGCTCTCTTGCGAGTCACCAACATGCTCACAAAACACTTTTGTCTTGTGAGTTTTTCATCTGGCGAGGCATTCGTCTTGCAAGGTACCACTGTATAAAGTAATTGCTTCCTTCACCTTGACTTTCTATAATGTGAAATCAGAATCATACTGCACAGTATGCCATACTACTAAACTGTCATTAATTTCTTCCTTGTTCCATTCTTTCTAGCTACAATGCTGAATTAGGACATGCAGGGCCGCAATGCATCCAGAAAGTGACACTCCTTTCTCACCCTTATTGTTTCTTGCAAGAGTGAAAGTGGACATATTCAAAAATCATATTTATGTGAGGAACTGCCTCCCCTTTGACAGTTTCGAATTTTTTTTTTCATCAGGACTTTTGTAGTCCTCTAGAGAGAATACTATGCCGCAGGACTCATTTTAGGTCAAAAATATGTTCACCTTTTATATACAAGTGATCCATTTCTATGTGAGCTTTGTGGCTTGTTCTCTGAGTCTCATCTAGTCAACCATGTGCCTGGGAAATCTGCTTGCTTTCGCCTACAGGGAACTTGTCATGGTGGGTCATTCTGGTCTGTTCTGGGCATTAAGGGATTTAATTAGATAAAACTATTTGAAGTTTTTCAGCTGTCCAATATATTGTTCTCAAGTGCATCCAACACATTGCAATGTGGTTGGCATGAAATTTTGTTACACACAGCCTGTTTTTGTCTGTTCTTATTTTGGCACTTACCCAATCCCAGAACCCATGTCTGAGAAGCTTCAGCTGTCCCATGTATTCAACCACCAGGACTCAAGCCAGGACTCCTTCTCAGATAGTAAAGTGAGTCACTCCACCTAGACTGGCTCCTGGCTTTCATTACCAGGAAGGGATAAAATGCCACCTGTTCAGGGTGGGTCTTTGGGCAAGTCTTTTCATAGTCTGTTTCATGACTCTCCTTGGTCTATTTATGATGCTATGAACATGGCAGATGAGTTCCATTTCATTTCATGGGCCACAAGCTGTGTTGGCTGATTTCAATCAATGGAGTAAGCTTAATACGATGTTAGAAGAGGAATGTGTTCATAGGTATGCATAACACAATCCTTACTGTAGGTGTGTTCTTATTCAGAGTTCAAATAGCATAATTG